GTCTAGTCGCGCTGGCCACGTGACCACGGAAACTGTCTTCGGACAAACGCTGGTTCTGTGGCTTGGAAGCTGGGATGAGCACCACGACCCAGAGTCGGACATGACTGGACTAAATGTCAAGGGGAACCTTTACCTTTACCAAAGAAATAAATGCAAGGGAGAAATAAAAAAGGCCCATGTGGGAGGTATCTGGCTGAGGATACAGAACTTAGGAGTTCAGTTTCCCACTACACATCTCAGAAAAACCAGTCTATGTGTTCTTGGGGAAACTGCACAGACCCAGGATACTCCCAGAAGAAAGGAAGGGAAAATCACCTCCGAGTACTCTCTATCTAGAAAACCCTGAATAAATGCAAGGGAGAAATAAAAAAGGCCCATGTGGGAGGTATCTGGCTGAGGATACAGAACTTAGGAGTTCAGTTTCCCACTACACATCTCAGAAAAACCAGTCTATGTGTTCTTGGGGAAACTGCACAGACCCAGGATACTCCCAGAAGAAAGGAAGGGAAAATCACCTCCGAGTACTCTCTATCTAGAAAACCCTGAAAAGGGTCAAGGAAGGGAAAACCACCTCTGAGTACTTTCTACCCTGAAAAGGGTCACCGTAAGTAGGAACTGACTTGATAGCACATGACTATTACTATTGCATTGCAGTTTATCTAACAGGCAGATATGATTTCCAAGAAAGGACTTCCTTCTGTGTAGTTCTGTTGTTAAGCAGTAGTAGAACATTCATGAGATTGAAGGCAGATCATTCAGGAACCTCTAAGAGAAGACTTGACAAAGTGGATTGCAACCCAGGAAATCCTACTAAGTATCTGTCAGTCTTCAAGACGCCTCACAACGGTTGTGTTGCAGTAACAAACGAACCGGATAACCCTCTGAAAACAGCACCAGAACTTCAGCACACAATTTTACCAAGTTGTTACCAACAGAGAAAAAGCACTGTAGAGAATAAGAGAAACAAGAATAAAAATATTGCTCTTACTGAATACTGGGAAAGAAGCCGTCCCTTTTAGAACTTGGAATTCCTGCTCTAACCTCCTTCGCAGATCGATTTGTTCGAACAAAACTTTCTGGAGTTCTTCTGGAACAAGAGAGGAGGAAAAAGGGAGAGAGTCCTGCTCACTGGCTGAGACAATTCTTGAAAACACAGCTTATCTCTGCAACTCAGCGCTACAAAGGCAAAAAAACGATGTTTGGCAGTGTAAGGGTGGCCCTGGCATGATTTGCGGAGACTAAGCATAGATTTTGTGCAGAAATCCATGAATATAAATCAATGCAATATATTATTTTAAAGTATTACTAGGACAATGTCATGTATTGATTGATACATATGCATTAATCTCAATTATAGCCACACAGAAGGCCCATATATTATTCATATGTTACTTGTCAAGCTTAAAATATGGAGGGGAATTAAACAAATGTATTACCCTCAATTGTCTTTGGATTGTACCAAAACAAAGGGCTCTGTGTCTATTTATCTAGCTAGATATAATTTCCACTCTTTTACCTTTCCCCATGTTTTCGACATCCTTTTTCAGAGAATGAGGTGGGTTGGTTCCTTGTATGGGTTCACCTTAATGAAGAAAGAAATTCGACATTATTGATTTACACACAGGCAACTCCTTATTAGAGATCATGTTTCATTTTACAACTTCATTAAGGGGTGGGGGAGAAAAACACTGTGAACATGCTTTTAATGCATCTGAGGGAGCCTCACCTTCCTGCCTTTGTTCATTCAGCATCACCCATGACTCTGATTTGTGAAAGAAGCATTAAGTGACCTCAAACAGGCTAAGTTCCCTCTCCCTCTGCAAGACGCTGAGGTTAGAATCCTCACGCTAGAAGCCGATCGAGTCTCACATCCCAATATTAATAAATGCAGCTAGTTGGACGTAAATGCATTTTTTTCCTGTCCAATTCAATGGTTTTCATTACAATATCTACCTGTCCGTTGGTCCCTGAACATATTTTAGCTTCACTTGTGTGGTTTGCCTGTTTTCGTTTTGACTCATATGGCATCTTCAGCTTAATATCCTACTCTGAAACAGTAGCTCTTAGACATGTCTATTTCAATTAGTCACAGCGATCACATAACTACCCTTGTTACAGTAGCTCCAATAGCTGCTGATCTGTTTCCAAGCAGAATTGGTTCTACTCTACAAAGCCCTATGTGACCTATCAAGGACCACATCTCCCTTTAGGAACCTGTCCAGGTGTTAAGATTTTCAGGGGAAGACTTTCTCTCAGTCCCACCACCCTCATAGACACTGGAGAGGGCCTTCTCTGTGACTGCTCCCAGACTCTGGAACTCCCTCCCACTGGAGGCCTGCCTGGCCCCATCTTGGCTGTCCTTCTGCAAGCAGGCAAAGACCTTTTTTTTTCAGGCAAGCTTTCTCTTGGTGACCAATCCATTTAAAAACCCTGCTTGTTGGTAAGGTTTTTAAATGGAGGGTTGTGCCTTACTACTTTGAATGCGGTGTTTGGAGTTGCTTATGTTTTTTTTTAGTATGGTACATTCGTTTGATCTTTTTGAGTATTTGTTGCTAACATGTGTGTACTTTTAATTGTTGTAAGCATCGGTGGGTCCTTTTAAAAGAGAAAGGCAGGTTAAAAATATTTTAAATAAATAAAATAAATAGTTTTGCTGCAGGATGGGTTTCGTAGTCTGAAAACTTCATGAGTTCTTGTTCTTTTATATAACATTGTTCACATATAAACGCAGCGCCAGCCTTTTGAGAGTGCATTCATGTGATTAGGATGCTATCATTCCAGAGCCTTTCTTTCTCTCTTTAGGAGAGAAAAAGCAGCTGGCAGAATTCTACTGGTGCTTTGTGTAACTTGCCACAGGTGCCAGGACCTGTCTTGGTTATGTATCGGGTCACATGTCTGATTCTTCACCCGGCACCTTGTCAGTTTGCTACAATTAGCCACGGCAACTTACACAAAACTTATGTGAAGGACTCTGGCCTCAGTACCAAGTTGCATAGGACCAAAAGCTTCTATGGAGTGGGGAAAACTGTCATGTGACCCCTGCAACTACCACACCAACTACCTCATCAATGACCACCTTAAAGATTTCATAAACGGCTAGAAGCATAATTGAAAGGGGTCACAAACAAGCCAAAATCTGACATATGTGCATAATTTCCCTGCTGTGTGAATACGTGTACGTTGCAAATGTTCCCAACTCAACTGAAAAATATTACAGTGTCTCTCTCTCTGTAGCAGAGTAGATTCAATCTAGACACACAGGCGGTCAGTCCCACTACAGACCCATGATGAAGTAGCAGAAGCAGTTAAAATCAGATAACGAAACTTTTATTTTAAAAATTACATGCAAGGTATCGTCGTTATTGTTATTACAGTGGTACCTCGACTTACGAACTTATGAACACTTATGAACATTTCGAGTCACGAACGGATCTGTTTGCAAAACGTTGCTCCGACTTGCGAATGGAGCCTCGACTTGCGAACGAAAAGAAAACCTTTCCTGCCCTTTTTTTGGACCTAAGTTCATCTTAGGTCAAAAGAAGAAATTTTTTAAAAAAATTATCCCCCTAATGGTAGAGTACGGGTTAACCGGCTTTGCATTAGTTCCTATGAGAACTAATGCCTCTACTTGCGAATAGCGCCTCGACATAAGAACGAAAAACGGCCGGTACGGATTAAATCATTTTCAATGCATTCCTATGGGAAATGGTGCTTTGACGTACGAACTTTGCAATGTACGAACGCGGGACAATGTGACATCATTCCCATGTCATGTACAAAACCCAACCATACTGCGTGTTAAAGTCAGATCTACCCATTCTGTATGTCTCAGCAATGGTTGACTAGAGAGAGATGGCTCCTTCTGCCTCGTGGTAGGGCTGGTTCTGTTGACCGCAGCTTGAGAGGTAGACTTTAGCCTACAGGAATGCTCAGGCTGCTGATTCTTGCAGGTCAAGCTGCAGTTAAGAGTGCCAGAGCACCCCAAGCAGTTATTCAAGTCATTTGGCAACCCATGTGGGTGTTTTAAATAAACATCCAAATGCAGTGAGGCTTATTTTCAAGCACAAGATTCCAATGCTTTAAAAAAAAAAACACTAGAGGACATATCAATCCAAACTGGTGGAATCCTTGAATACATCTAAGGTGTAGTCCATGACCATTAAAACATTAGGGTGCAAGCTTTTCCCCTGCACGTACCAACCACTGTCTTACAGAGGTGAATACTGTGCAGCAGAGGTTCTGTACAGAAGATGTCTTTAAATAATACATTCTTATGTATAGCTTGGCATAAACCATGTAAGCCGAGAGAACCTCAATCAATGGATGATTTCCCATTGGCTATAACGAATGTAGCTAACATCCCTGCATATTGACCTCTATACCAATGACAGAGCTACAAATTTTATTCAGTTTAAATGATAGATTAATCAACTAAAGTTTAGATTCATTGGAGATCAATCCTTGTTCCTTGAGCTGTGTGCTCAGATTTGAGTGATTTATTTATTTAGAAAGTGGATGTAGGTTTTTTTGTGTTATTGTACTAAAGAATAGCAAGAGCAATACTAAAAATGCCATTGCTTCTTACAGTGGGGTGGTGTTGTTTGTTTATTAAATTCTAAAATTACGATCTGATGTTTCTTCACTCCAGTGCACAAAACGGTACTTATACTGAAGTTTTGGTAATATGTGTTTAAATGTAATTGATCAATTAATCCAGAAGAAGGTGCTTACTCGACTAAAATGATTAAATGGGTTGACAGCTAATATTTCAGTGAGATATGTGAAACAATCTTCCTATAAATCGTGAGGAGTGGTTTAATATGTTGCAGTCACCAAATGGAAATGATTGGAAGGGAAAAAAATATATAAGTTAACCTTTCTGCAATGTGCAGCTCATTAGGCAGAGCTTCCAAATGGAAAGGGCCGACAAAGGCCCAAAATTACCTCATGGCAACCCTTCCTAGAGATACAGTGAGAATGCAGAGGAGGGGGGGGGGAATCCTAGAAAAACGAGGAGCGACCAGTCCCTACAGTAATTGATCTGCATCATGAGAGACTGCAGTACCTGATTTTAAATGACAGAAGGTGAAGGTAAAGTCTTGAGGACGAAATTTCAGTCTCGGCTCGTCATCCTCAAGATAGCCACACACACTTCCCTATAACATGATCATTGGGTGACTTTTGAACAGGCTTTGGCCCATTCTGAAAAGATTTAACACTCAGCTTTCACTGACCTCACAGGGTGGCGAGGTGAACATTCGGGTATCGCACAATGAGCTCTTTGGAAGAACGGTGGAATAGAAATGGGACAAATGAATGATACAGAAAATCGAGGGTTTGCATTTCTTTGAGAATCTTCTTGTCAGTTTTGTGTTGCCTGCCTCAAGAGAGTGGCTTCCTCGAGGCTGAAGGAACAGCCTAACTTGCACACATGCGCCCTGCTAATTCTGTTTCAGAACTACATCATACAAAAGGGACACACACACACACCCCGTATCCATGGGATTCGTATTTAGGATTCACTTATCCACTGTCTGAAAATATTAAAAATATTAAAAGATAAATTCCCAGAAATATATATTTCTAATGATGAAGTTACCGGAAATGACCACTAGAAGGAGCCAGAGACAATATAGTATATAGAATTTGCTGTTATAATTGTTGTTGTTTAGTCGTTGAGTCGTGTCCAACTCTTCGTGACCCCATGGACCAGAGCATGCCAGGCCCACCTGTCTTACACTGCCTCCCAGAGTTGGGTCAAATTCATGTTGGACACTTCGATGACACTGTCCAGCCATCTCGTCCTCTGTTGTCCCCTTCTCCTCTTGCCCTCACACTTTCCCAACATCAAGGGCTTTTCCAGGGAGTCTTCTCTTCTCATGAGGTGGCCAAAGGACTGGAGCCTCAGCTTCAGGATCTGTCCTTCCAGTGAGCACTCAGGGTTGATTTCCTTCAGAATGGATAGGTTTGTTCTCCTTGCAGTCCAGGGGACTCTCAAGAGTCTCCCCCAGCACCACAATTTAAAAGCATCAATGCTGTTATAATAGTGTTCGTTATAATCTGCATTTTTTTTAGCATCCATGCTGGGAGTCTTGGAACTGAGCCCCCACAGATATTTGGGTCCTACTCTATTTTAAACAGATATCTTGGAAGTATAAAATATTAACATCTGAAGCAGCTCCATGATACAGTAATATGGAGGGTGATGAACAATAATCATAAGTTATCTGAAAAATACCAGAATATGAGAGGTGGAAGAAATGCCTCTTTCCCTCAAAATGGTATCCTAGGACCCAGCATTCTCTAAAAGAGTGCCAGCTCTTGGAGAACCCGGCAACCCTTTGGGGGGGGGGGTGCTCTGCAAGTCTTGGGCTGTTTTGTGTAGCAGAACAGCCCTTCTTCTGTTGCTTCTAATTCTTATGGATTGCCCTGTCCAGGGATGTACTTACATAATTATGCAACGGCCACAATTCTATTGGGATTTACACTGGCATAAGCATAAATAAGGGACGTGGTGGCGCTGCGGGTTAAACCGCAGGAGCCTCTGTGCTGCAAGGTCGGAAGACCAGCCGTCGTAAGATGGAATCCACGCGACGGAGTGAGCTCCCGTCGCTTGTCCCAACTTCTGCTAACCTAGCTGTTTGAAAGCATGTAAATGCGAGTAGATAAATAGGTCCCACCTCAGTGGGAAGGTAACAGTGTTCTGTGTCTAGTCATGCAGGCCACGTGACCACGGAAACTGTCTTTGGACAAACGCTGGCTCTACGGCTTGGAGATGGGGATGAGCACCATGCCATAGAGTTGGACACGACTGGACTAAATGTCAAGGGGAACCTTTACCTTAAGCATAAATAAGTAAACTGCAGTGGCAAATTGCCACTAATTTAAAGAACTGCTGCTCACATTCCTGATCATACACCAGTCACATAACTTGTCATGTGACTGGGAGTGAAACTGGTAAATGCTAGTAAGGAACAACATGCCAGTAGAACGTATGCATTTACACTAATGCATATAGAAACCATGAGAGAAACAAAAAGCCCAGTTCCTCATAAATGGAATATATTTATAGGCATGATGTTGTTACGGGGGTAGGTGCAGATTTGATGGGGTTAGGGCCAAAGTTTTGCCCTTAGCACGGCTGGTGGAAATAACAAAATGCATGCATGCATGCATGCATACATACAGTACTTTCAAAATTGGAAGTGACAGAAGGTTTAGATCTGGGTTCAATTTTGTGGTTGACGACTGGTGCTTCCAATGCTAAACTGCTACACGGTCGCAGGCCTCTAAAAGTGGCAGGTTTTGCTGTGGGTGGGATCTCAGAGGCCTCCAAGGGTGGAAGGATCTCTTTTTCTGTTCTGGCTCCCCTTCCCCCTGACTTAAGGAAACACACACCATCAGCAGAAATGGCTTTGGGATCACCAGGTGTCCACTCTGTGCTGCCCTGTGTATCATTAATGGTAAGTGGAGGAGCAGAGGGAATAATGAATGAGGGTACCATGTTTCCAAAGTTGCTACTTCTGTTGTAAAGGATCATAGATAGATGGGATCAGTTTAATCTCTCACATTACATTTGCGAGCAGTGGAAAAGTGGTAGATTTGATAGTGCAGGTGCTCATTGTGACAATCACCATGTCACATGAACCCACGCAGAAATGCAGGCCACCAGGTTAGTACATATCAACCATCGAGAAGCAAGTCTTTGGTAAAGTGAATGGCTCTACATTGCCTGTAAATACTCATCCACTCACAAACACATTTCATTACATGAGGAATGTTGTTGTTGTTTAGTCATTTAGTCATGTCTGACTTTTCGTGACCCCATGGACCAGAGCATGCCAGGACCTCCTGTCTTCTACATGAGGAATAGCTGCCAACAATATACAGTACTGTTCCTGGGGGAAACTGTTTTCTCTCCCAGCTAAGACTAGAGGCAATGGAGTAGTTTGAGACCTTTGATGGAGGAGGAGGTCATAGTCCCTTCCACTCAGAAGGTCCCAGAACTTCAGCCTTGCAAATCCTAGATCCAGTACACTATGGCTTGGAAGAGGACATAGTGACAGAGGGAGGGGATGATTATTTTTTTTAGTAATTATTAGAAAAACCCTGTGCCTTACCTAAACTACACCTACCCCATTTCCCCCAAAATAAGACCTAACCTGAAAATAAGCCCTAGTATGATTTTTCAGGATGCTCATCCTATAAGCCCTCCCCACCCCCCCAAAAAATAAGCCCCAGTTAAGAGAAACCCCACCCTCTATCCTTGTGCACCCTGGAACATCCAAACATAGAGCATATTATGATTTATTGGTTGAAACCCAGCAGTAAATTGCAAGTAAAATACATCCAATTCATCAGTGTGGACTTGGTCAGTCAACTCAACCACAAGTTGTATTGATTCAAATGGGTCTCTCTCAATGAGCCGTTTTTTGCTGGATTTTAGCCATTGTGGACATAGTATCACAAATATGCATACAAGTCTTCACAAATTACAAAGTGACCGTTCCCTTCTCTTAGGTGTCTACAGTCCAAATGGCTGATAATAGTGTAGCAAAAGAGAATGGTAAATGTGACAATGGGAGGGATAAAGAGGGTCCGATGAACATCACCTCCCTTAGGTTTAATCCTAGTGGAATGGGGGGCAGGCAGCCCAACAGCCTCCCAACGTTTTAGACTACAGTTCTCATTAGCCCAAGACAACCTGCCCAATAGTCAAAAAATCTGGAGGACGCCAAGCTGGTGCTGGGATTCTAGGAGGGTTGTTAAAAGTGGCTAAAAAAAGGAATGATCTGGTAACTGGCCAGATGACTCAATTCCCGACCAAGTCTCCAGGGAAAAACAGCCAGCCTGTGAATCATGAAATCATAGAATCATCGTAGGGTTGGAAGGGACCTTGGAGGTCTTCTAGTCCAACCCCCTGCCCAAGGCAGGAGACTTCAGACCATCCTGGACCGCATATCCTCCCGGACAGATGGCAGTTCAATCTTTTCTTGAAAACCTCCAGCGATGGAGCACCCACCACATCGGGAGGCAAGCTGTTCCACTGCTTCATGCTTCTCACCATCAGGAAATTCCTCCTTATTTCCAGGTTGGCTCTCCCTCTGATGCGTTTCCACACATGGGTTCTTGTCCTACCTCTCAAGTGCAATGGAGAATAAATCAATGACCTCTTCTCTGTTGCAACCCATCAGATCTTGGAAGACTGCCATCATGTCTCGATGACCTTTTCCCTGTTGCAACCCATCAGATATGGAAGACTGCTATCATGTCTCCCCCTCGGTCTTCTCTTCGTTAAGCTAAATATACCTAGTGCTTTTAGTTGTTCAGGCTGCTCAGTCCCAAGGCGCCTCCAGAAGAAGGGAATGGTAACGCACTACCGAGTACTCTCTACTTAGAAAACGCAGAAAGGAGTCACTGTAAGTCAGAACTGACCTGACAGTACATGGTTCTTTCTGTTATTAAAGAATGGAATGATTTGGTAGCTGGTCGCTGGGAACAGGTAAGGACCCCTTTCTGTGACAGGTAAAGAATAAGGCTAATAGGCATGATGAGATCAGAACTAGTGCATGGCATTTCCTGACTGGGGTTTGGAAAACTATAGGTCAAAAGAGTCACATTTGCAAACTCTCGAGCCAAAAAACAATAACCCACATCAAGGAATGATAATGACGAGAAAAAGCAGGAGTGTCGGTCCATTGCAGCAGAAGCAACAAAGGAACTTGAGACTCATAAAAGGCTAGCAAATCGGTCGTGACTTAAGCCTTCGCAGAGAGAAGACCACTGCACCCATGGGTTGCATCAGCTGCAATGCATCTTCATTCCTCAGTTATTATGACACAATAAATCTGTTAGCTCAGCATGTGTGTGTATGTCTCTGTGTGGGAAGACATATACATTGTATAGCAAGAATGTAAGGCTGTAGAACATGAAGACATATAAGTATACTGTATAGCAAGAATGTAAGGCTGTAGAACAACCTTCCCCGTATTCCCCATAAGTTTATGAAACTGTATTATAGGAGAAGGACCCAAGAAATACACACATTCATCTTCATAATTTACTCCAGACCATTTTCCTGCTGATATTTGGTTTCCCTTAATACCTTGGAAATGATCAAGGGTGATTAGCCTTTGCCCTGCTTTAATATCAATTTTCGTCTCTCTTCGGCTTTATTTAAAAGGCCATTCTTTGTGCCTTCCTCACTTCCACCTTCAATCTCTCTCTCTCTCTCTCTCTCTGTGTGTGTGTGTGTGTGTTTGTGTGTGTGTTTGCAAATTCCCCTCCTCTCCTTTGAAGGAAGTAAGGTTTTGCAGTGCATTAAAATTATAAACCCACTGGATCGATTATACACTTAGGCACACTTACACACACACAGAGCAAGAGAGTTCTGAGTTATCCTCATCACTGTTACATAGGATTTTTTTAGGACTATATTTTCAGTGCTTTCCATTCCACTAGCATCTCTCTCTCTCACTCTCTTTCCCTTTCCCTCCCTGGTCTCTCTGTCTCATTTGACAAGCAAATTTGCAGACATAGCCTCCGGATAACAACCTCGTTTGACAGTCAATTAACCGTGAATAGTCAAAGCCAAGACAGTTTGCATTACATAAATGGAAAATTAGATTTCCCTTTTTTTCCCCTCCTCTCTCTCTCTCTTTTTCTCTCTCTCTCCCAAGAAACAAAACCCACTTTCTTTATAACCCTCCCTGGCAATAGACAACTTCGTATCAAAACTTCTAATCACGTCTTCTCTCCCCCCCTGCGTCCCCCACTCCAAACCCCTTGGAGACATTTAGCAATCAGTAAAAGGTGGTTCCATTTAATTTGTATAATGTAATTTTTGTCAATGTATTATACATTTTGTGTAGAGATCATTATCACGGAGATAATATAAATGTTGCCATAGATCTCATAAAACACCTTTAATGTCTCTCTGACAGATATTAAAAGCAATAAGCTGTGATCCTTTTTAATGGAAGGTTTCAAAGAGAACATTTCAATTATTGTCATTTTATGTTTTTCCCCCTGCCAGCCTGCTCCATTGTGTAACCTGATATATTTCTGAAATTTCCTGCTGAAATATGCCCAGCAATTAATAATTGTATCACTATTAATGCCTCTCCACCCCTCCCCCTCTTCATTTTCCTTTAGTTATTAGATGTATCTAGGAATGCCATTTATTTATATATTTGTTTGTTTGTTTGTTCGTTCATTCATTTTTCCTTCAGCAAAATATTCAGTCATTTGATCAGGAATTTTACAACTGCCGTCCCACGCAGATCAAATTGGAGACCATGCCCCACCGGGCTCAGTGGGGCTTACTTCCTGTAAACATAGATAGGACTGGGTTGCAGGATATCTATCGATCTCCCCGCCCTGCACCCATTGTTCAGCCTACCAGCGATATTCCTCCAGAATTCTCCTCCTGAGTGTTCAGATTCCGCAATGAAAAAATTGAGTTCCTTGTTCTTATCTAAAAAAACAAAGAAACAAGACAAAAATGAACTCTCCCAAAATATAAAAGACATACATGCACGCAAATGAATTTGACCCAACTCTGGGAGGCAGTGGAAGACAGGAGGGCCTGGCGTGCTCTGGTCCATGGGGTCACGAAGAGTCGGACACGACTAAACAACTAAACGACGATGACATGCACACAAACGTACACCTACATTTGGGGTGAAAATGGGGATTCGATCCACCCTGTAAAAATTCAAACATCTAGAAATCATCATCATCATCTTCTTAGAACTGCAGAACTGGAAGGGATCCTATGGATTCATCGAATCCAGCCCCTGGCAAGAAGGCTCAGTGGAGAACCGAATTCCGAATCAGACACCTAAACCAGTAGCTCTGTTGCCTTGCTTAAAAGGTAGCCTTCGCAGAGTTTGGTGCTCAGCTAGACTATTAAGCAGTAACACATCTCACAGCATCTTAAAGGTTGCCACAATTATAACGGCACAATGCTTTTGTGGACTACTGTACTTCATTAGAGAGAAGTAGACAGTTTCACACAGAATGTATGTGCTAACAAAAGTGTTAGGGCAGAATCCTATTAAACATGCCCTGGCTTGATCATTCTCTTGGGGGAGGGGGGGTCTCCCCTTGCACATGGGGAAGGCTTATGCCAGAAAGCTGTGCAGTCCTCACCTTGGACGTTGACTTTGCATGGAGCAGAAGCTCAATAAGATACTGAACTTCTTACCAATATTCTCATCAATGCCTGTAGCAACCTGACTGCTCTCGCTCTCTCTCTCTCTCTCTCTCTCTCTCTCACACACACACACACACACACACACACACACACACATACACACACACACACCCACACACACACAAAATCAAGGACTCAAGCTTTCCCAAGATTATTCAACAGTCACTGTCTCAGTGGCCAACATTCAAGGACACAAGCAGAGGGACCCCAATTACCCACTCGATCTATTTCAGCCACCCTCTTAAGATCTGTGATCGGGAGGAAAACAACAACAACAACAACAAATCCCCTCATGTCTTGCCTGAGAAATTATTTTCTTTCGGGGAGATGACAACGTGGTTGTTTTCCTTGATTTTCTGCATCTGCCGGAATGAAAACAACAAACATCACGCACAAATTAAAAACAGGACCCGCTACAATCAATGATCAATTAACAGGCTCGCCAGGGCGAACAGAGAGAGAGAGGAGCAAAAGGAGACAAGAAACAGGAATAGATGGTGGTGCTGATGGGATTCCCTGAGAGATGCTGTGGGGCATCTACTCTGTGAGGGAGGGATCAACTAACAGTCCCAGTTGGGTCTCCTATCTATAGGGAGGGTCGTGTTGAGGGAAGGCTGAAGTAGACAAATCCAAAGTGAGTTCCTTTATACTCTGGTTTCTTCCAAATGTTGCCCCGCCTTGAAGATCCTGTGAACCTTCTTGCCCACCTCCTCTACCCACCAGCCCTTCCTAAACTAGGAGTTTCATTTAACTGAGTAGGACATGCTTCCTCGTAAGCATGCACCTGCTGGGAGCAGGCCGGATCCTGGCCCTGGATCTTCCTGGTTCCTGCCTGATGGAGCCCCATTGGAATCCAAGGGAGAGGAGCTCTGTGTTTACTCAGATGTAGAGGTCACTTTGTGTCAAGAAAGGGCCCTCCTACCAAAGGCGTTCGGCTGGCTTTAGACTAGTTTGCAAGCAAGGCTGACTTAAAATGCTTAGGGATCTGGAACTGTTCTAAAACACCAGACTTTCTTGTGCGCATGTGCAAACTCTTACAGGCAGGGTGGCTTTGAAGGTAAAGAAATAAATGGGCTCATTATAAATAACTTTTTAAAAATAGTAAGGACGATGTATAGGGACACATAAAATACCTTACAGGTCCGGACACTTGTGCCTCTATGTCCTCCCTGAGATTAATGGCTTCATCTCACACATATTTATTCAAGGAAGTGTTGGTACAACTGCAAATTTAGCAATTAAAACAAAACCAAGACAGCTACTGTCGTGGGGTGGCAGCTATTCCCAACTCTCCCTTCAGTTGATCCCTGGATGTTGGCTGACTCTATTTCCCATCCACCCCTGAAAGCATGGCCAATGATCAGGGAGGATGGATGTTGATAACATAACCCATCTGGTAGGCCAGAAGTCCCCCAAATGGGGTCAGAGGAACTCCTGGCTAACTCAAGGGCGTTTACTTAAGTCTCAATGGGAACTTTCTATGTGAAGGGAAAAGACCCCTGGTGGTTTAGGTCTCTGGCTGTGGAGCCGGAGGTTGGGAGTTCGATTCCCCACTGTG